TTTTCAAATTCTCCAATTTTCCTGCTTGATTCAAGGTCCTGACATTCCATGTTCCAATCTTGTATCCATGCTGTTTCTTCTGATCTTCGCACTTTTTCTTGTTGTAACGCCTGCATGACATTTCCTCTAGAAACACTCCCCCCCGGAGATCCGATTGGGGGAGTAGTTTACCTCCGGATTGTTTTGCCTCCAGAGGAAACATCTCGCATATATGGTATCTCTGTTTTTGGAAAGAGACTATCCAGGAAAAGTGATAATGTGGTAGTTTTTCCATTTGCTTTCCACATCGCAGTACAACAGCCGTTCAAACCACTCTGGTCACGCCTGCTGCTATACGAACTTGAACCATCTCGAGCATCATTTGCTCTGTGCTTCAAGTCGCTACTGATGACGCTGCTTCCGGCATCAGTTCAACAAAAAATAAGCTTTCCATTTATTGAGCAACAAAAATATTGACTTCATATGAGCTGAAACAATTGGTGCAAATCACAGAAAAATATTTACCCTAGAAATAAACTTACTTCATTTGCGTATTCAACACGAATATGCTTCTTAACAATTAGTGGCGTTGGAGGAATCGATGGAGTGTACCCTGCCGTGTCATCTTGGCTGACTGCAACTGAACAAAATCAGCGCAGGTTTCTAGTGCAGATATATGGCTGCCTTCACTGCATGAAATAAAGTCGCCGTTCAGTAATAAATTTCCCAGCATCGTGGTCAGTCACTCGTTCATGCTCGGTTGTGTCAACCTCATTGGTTTCCTGAACTTCTGATGTTTTGCTGCAATCTGTTCAAAAACTGCAAGCCGGCAATCTTCATTTTCATTGCAACATTGAAGACTACAGTCGTTACATGAAAACTCTTCGTAATTTCCGACGTGGTACATTTTCACTTTCGGCCTTACTCGGCATCTCCAAGACCCAGTGATTAAAACGCAGTGAGCAAAGCAGTTCTGAATGGTCTTGGTACTTCCCCTTAGCCACTATGGGAAATAAACTGTACTTCTTGTAAAATATCAATCCTTGCATTGGCCTCCTTAGCTGTTGAAGATTTTCTTGAATTGCCTCAAGAATGTAGCTTCCCAACTTCGCGCGATATAAGGTCTTGAAATTTTCTGATTGCCACGTTCATTGACGGTACCAGGGAAGTTGTGTTGGGAGACAGAAATTCCAATTGTATATTTTAC